CTTGTGCAGGCATTGAGCCAAGGGCTGGGGAAGGTCTTTAATTGCAGACGAGCATTTGAAGTCACCCAGGAGCAGTGAGCAGGCCTCGGTTGTGGTGGGACGAGGTGGAGATGTGTGTGTGTTCACCCAGCTCTTCAGCACATGGCTTCCTGTAGAGAATAAAGTTTCTGGCTTGGGTCTTCCACAGGGGCCAAGTTGGGCTCTGTTCCGCTGCCGCCTGCAGGGACCTGCCATAGGGACTTCAGTATGGACCGCATGGTGCCTTCCTACCCAGAAGGAAGGTTACTCCTTGGTTAACCTCCTTTCAGACTCAACAGAGGTGTGCTTGGTGCCTCCTCTGGTTGTCCTGGGCACTGATGGTTACTGAAAGTGGCCAAGAGGATGGGCAGGTCCTCTGGTCTCATGAGGTTTTGTCTCATAGAGGGAGATTAAGTTAATAAGCAGGGTAGCTCGGGCATTAAAGACAGTGGGCCTACAGGGTCATGCTGTGCATCTCTTGGGAGCTCTCTAAAAAGGGGGGATGACTTTGCATGGTTCTGTGGCTCTAACAGAATACCTGAGGCTGATACTTTTCAAGACAAGAGGTTCAGTTCGACTGTGGTTCTGAGAAGTCCAAACCACAGGGCTGATGCTCAGCTTCCGGTGAGGACGCCATGCCACTTATAGCACAGAAGAGGCCGGGTGAGGTAGGAGCTGGTTTGAACGTGCAGAACGTAGCAGAAGGGTTGCTCCAGACAGCCTGCTCTTAGGATAACTCATCCAGCCCCGGAGAGTGACATTTCCCGGGGGACCAGCACTAATTGTCCCTAATTACTAAACACTTTTTTGTTGTGTAAAGATAGGAAGAGCTCCATGTGAAGCCCAGGCGGCCTGCTCCTATGTGTGTTCCTCCTGCCTCAGTTTCCCAAGTTTTGAGACTGTAGGTATGACCACAACTGGTTCCTAGTCACCTCTTTGTTTCAGTTTTGGCCTCATTTTCTTATATAATCTCACGAGACTCAAAGTGGCTTTGAGTTTTCTCTGTAGCTGAAGGTGATTTTGAACCCCTGGCCCTCCTTCCACTGTGCCCAGTTCCTAATTACCCCGTGTGTCATTGCCCCAGGGACAGTCGGGTCTTAGTGACTTGGGGAATAGCTCAGTAGGACATTGGCTTAAATGTGTGAAGATCTAGATTCCGTCTCGAGCCTTTTCACCCTTCCATTTCAGCATGAGTTTTCTAGGAGGCAACCATATTAAAATCACAATAGGTCATGAAGAGCAGCCACTCCGAAGACTGAAGGGACAGAAGAGCCCTCCCAGCCTCAGCCACCCAGGAAGAGGGAGAGCAATGGCCAAGGGCTCTGAGACTGGAGAGAGCTGCCTCCCAGACATGCAAGAGACAACGTTGGAAAGTGAGCAAACTGGGTTGTGTAGAAAGGCAGTTAGAGGCCAGCAGAGCAGGCATAAGTAAGTGAGGCCAAAGCAGGCTTTGTCTCCAGCTGTTAGAAAGATCTCTCTAGCCGGAAGCTCTCAGAACGGGAGTGACTCATAGAAAGGAGAGTACAGAGAACCACCGTCAAGTTCAAAATCGGTAGTAACACAAGCCAAAGGGGCCCTGCCTGCCTGCCTGGGAATCCAGCAGCTAAGCAACTCTGCCTGCCCCTTGAGCATTGTCTAGGCAGGCCTGTTGACTAACATAAGGCTCCCATGATCTGGATATGGTCTGAGCCTTAACTCGAATTGTAAAGTTTGAAGGGTAGAAATTTAACTGGCTGTCCGTATTCACTATGAAAATTAGTAAACTTTTTGTTTTCTAACTTTTTTTCCCTTTGTGTATGGGCGTCTTTGCCTGCATGCAAGCCTCTGCACCACATGCATTCCTGGCACCAGAAGAGGGAGTGGGATTCTTTAGAACTGGTGTTAGAGATGACTGAGAGCTGCCATGTGAGTGTTGGGAATTGAACCTGGGTCCTTTGAAAGAGCAGCCAGTGGCTTTAACCCCTGAGCCACCTCTCCAGATCATAAGTGAATTATTATTATTATTTTTTTGCCCTCAGAGGAAGGGCCTTTGGGAGCTAATCCAGATTAGCTAATGCCATCAGGGTGGAGCTCCCTAGTTGAATCTTGATGGCTCTATAAAAGGTCTGTGTGCCAGGTGTGGTGGTGTGTGCCTTTAACCCCGGCATTCATAGAAGCAGGCAGATCTTTATGAGTTTGAGGCCAGCTTGGTCTACATCTTGAGCTCCAGGCCAGCCAAGGCTACATAGTGAGACCCTGTCTCAAAAGGAAGGAAGGAGGAAGGAAGGAAGGAAGGAAGGAAGGAAGGAAGGAAGGAAGGAAGGAAGGAAGGAAGGAAGGGAGGAAAGACAGAAGATGTGGAGTTAGTTCCTGCTACTGACTACTGACTTGTGATGTCTTGATGTATCGTAACAACCTGGGACTCTGCCAGCTGGAAGTCAGTAACTAGACGTACACCTTTAAGCCTGGAATAAAAATGTGGGTCAAAAATGAACCTGTTGGCTTTTATATATACTCAGTATCAGGTACTTTATTAATTGTCATAGAAAATTGACTGATGTACTGGCCTCATGGCTGACCATCAGTTGTGTTTGGGGCGGGCTAGGGAGAGATTTCTTCCTGCTGGGATCTTATTATTAACAAGATGTGGCAAGCTACAGCCCGTTTCACAAAGGAGAGGCCAGGAAGAAAGACATCCGCATCCAGGTCTGATCACCTGGGCTCCAGCCATGTGGAACCTCCCAGCCTCTCCACCTTTGGCCAGAAGCTGTCACTGTCCCCTCCTAGCCCTTTAGCCAGAAATTGTCACCATTAGCCAGAGCAGGCACTAACACACATGCTGAGCCACAGGCACTAATGGAAGCATAGCGCAAGCTGAGGAGACCTCTGCTTCTCTTCGTTGTCTGAAGATTAAAGCAGCAAAACAGCCCCAGCTGCCCCTGTGATGAGCATTGCTTTGGTCGCCATAGTGCAAGCCCGGTCGCCATAGCGTAAGCCCGTCTGGGTCTGGTTTGTATAAGTGACATTTAATCACCATGGTGCTGGGGAGGCCTTAGGCGACACCAAGTGACGTATGACGTAGTTGTAGTAGTTTGACTTAACCTAAAATGTATAAGGATGAGGGGATATATGTGTGGTCTTTGTTTGTTCTGTGTGCAGGTTTTGTTGTCGATGATGTTTGTTTGTTTGTTTTGCGGTCTTATAGCCCAGGCTGGTGGGGAACTTGCCTTATAGTCGAGGCTGACTTCCAAGTTGCAATCCTCCTGCCTCAGCCTAACAAGTGCTTACAAGGGCTAAGTAGTACAGGCGTGTACTACCCTGTCTGGATTTTATATGTGTGTTTTAATGAGAAGAGTCAGAGCCTCCAGTTTGCTGGGGTGAGAGGGAGGTGGAGTCCTGAGCCAAGTGGTGCATGGTGTGGGACGGCACGCACCACCCACCGAGGATGGAGACGCGCTGTAGGTGACATTGGTGTGGGACATTACGCGCCACCCACAGAGGATGGAGACACGCTGTGGGCGAGCAAGGGTGTGGGACGGCACACGCCACCTGGAAAGGATGGAGATGCGCTGTAGGTGAAGGCTGGTGTCCATCACCACAGATGGATATTTCACGAGATGTCAGAAACCTGGACAAGGGAGGGCTTTCTGAGTTAGACCGGCCCCAGCCGGTGGCTCTCCCAGAGGACTCCCCAACAGGTGTGTCAGACCTGTGGCCTGCAGGTCACATTCAGCTGAGGACAGCTACAGATGTGAGCCAACACAAAATTATAAAATGACTTAGAACATTATACCTTTTGTGGCAGTGGTGGCACACACCTTAATTCTAGCACTCGGGAGGCAGAGACAGGCAGATCTCTGTGAGTTCAAGGCCAGCCCGCTCTACAGAGTGATTCCAGGACAACCAGGGCTATACAGAGAGAGCCTGTCTCAAAAAACAACAACAACAACAAAACTCAATTGCACAGTTCTTTTTTTTTCTCCAGTTTTTATTTATTTTTTTTTGAAAAATTACCGCCTCCTCCCCGTTTCCCATTTCCCTCCCCCTCCTCCCACACATCTTCCCCTCTTCCCACTCCCCTATCCTC